GCCGAGCACCACACAGAGCCTGGTAAGTGACCTGGCCAGTTCAGAGAGGCAAAATTGGGCAGGAAACAAATATGACGTGCTCATGTCTACTGATTATGGTTCCTGTAGCCTCTCTCTATGCTATACTTCTGTTGTGTTCAGGAATCAACATTTGTAGATGTGTCCAATTGTTTTATGTCCTCATGATCATAAGATTAAACATTTTTAAATTTAAAAAATTAATTAGTTTATCATTGCTTAGGTCAGGGTGACCAGCTTTGGTGAGCCTGTGCACCAGAACCACCTACACAAAAAAAATACAGTATATCCAAAAATCACCAAAACCAAACAAACAAGAACCCAGAAGGGCCCAGACTTCCAATTTTGGTTTTAGAGGAAGGAAATTGGATGGAAAAGGCAATCAATTTTTTGCCCAAACCATCATTTGGGGGAGTTTCTAGGAGCAGGAAGATGACACTGTGTTTTTTTTAAAAAAAAAAATCAGCCATAGGAGTGGAGTAACCTACACAATGACCACTAGGGCTGCCCTGTGGCCTTGCAGATCATATGTAGACTTGTAGGCTGCATGTAGCCTGCAGGACATACTTTGCCCACCTTAGTCTTAGATCCTTGGAGAAATCTATAACGGCAACCTGAATTCAAGCATATTTGGTGGACCCATTTATACCTGCTGCCACATATTGTGACATAGAGTATGACCTGTGGCCAAGATATATGAACACTTGCCTCCCCCTGTGTGTGCCAGCACGGAATTTAGCAAGTTACTCTAGTTGTTCTCCAGTCCCTATAGGTTAGGCTGATGAGTGAATAAGACAGTGCTTTTTCTGGAGGGAAGATGGGGTACAAGTGTAGCAATTCTTGGAGATGATGTTTAGAAACAGCTGTGTACTGCATTATTTGCCCATCTTGATATTGTGTCCTCTGGCTGTGACCTCCCACAGTCTCATCCAGATAGTCTTCAGCTATCCAGGAAATGTCAGGACTGAACCATGATTTAATTCGTGGAAACCCTCTGGCCTTCTACTAAGACGTGGACCTGAATATACTTAGGATTAATGTCAAAATAGGCTTCAAAAATTAGCATGATTTTATGCATTCATTCATTCAGTCAATCAGTCAATTTTTATCCTGCTCCTATTAGTGTCACAGCACTATTCTGGGTGGGTTACAACTCGTAAAATAGAAAACAAAAATAAAAATAAAAATATTAAAATCAATAGCAATAACCCTTTAAAAAACCCAGTATGTTTTAGACCTAGTTGGTTTTAATGGCTCAGTTTTCGTTAGGTGTTTGCCTCTGTGGCCTTGTAAATTAATAATCACAAGAGCATGAGGCATTATGTTAAACCATAACATTTTATGAGTTCCTCTCCCTGCCTCTCTCCTTCCCTCCTCACCCCCTTCCTCCATATGCAGACAGGATTGTTTTGGTTTCTCCTTTAATTAAAGATTCCTGTTTGTGTTTATAGATTCAACCTTTACAATGGTTTTCTTTCTTACCAACATGCTCTTTCAATTCACTTCATTAAATGGAGAAAGGGCACAGATGCATGCAAATATGTGTTCGTTCTGTGTTTTATTGAAAGCCTCTTCTTTATTTTGCAAAAAGGTCACCTGTTCCCTTTTCAGTTTATTCAGTCCAGGACATTCTCTGTTATTATATCCCAAATGTAAAACTGAAATAGATACTCTCAGGCCATATTTACAGGGTCCTCCTATAATTGAACAATCCTGAGAATGCATATTTTAATACCCTGTCCTGTAATTTTTGTTCTGCAAATGGAATGATCTCCCTCCCTCGTAATCATGGGTGTTTTTGCATTTTACTCTGAGTGGTGATGCAAATAAAAAAGGCTTTCATTACTGTTATTACTTGAGTGTGTTTCCTTTCGAGATGGAGTCGAGGTATATATGGGCTATAGAAAGAATATAGTTCAAACGTTTTGTCTCTTTGTTTATTTTGCTCAGTGAAATGAATGGCTTTTCTCCAGAGGTCTGTAACTGCAACCTTAAGTGCATTGTTTGTAAAATTGGAATTTGTGTTACCCAACCTGCCCCCAGTTTCCACATCTTCAAACACTAGAATAGAATTTCAAAATCCAGATTCATCATTGACAATGGGCTTCTTTTGTTATGATGTGGTTGCTGCTACATTCAAATGACAAAAAAGGAATTCTGATTAAACAATAGAATGATCTTTGCCACAGTGTGAACTGTTTGACTGTGGAATATATGGTCTACGGTGGTGGTGAAATCTTTAGCATTTGAGATTTTAAAGCCAGGCTAGATGGGTACCAGGGACACTGTGAAGATGATGCACTGGCAGGAGCTTGGTTCTTCCAGTGGTAAGGTTCTGTGGGTGTGGATCTGTTTGCTATGGCACCTTCTAGGACCAGTCAAGGCTTCTGACCTTTTGGAATGAGGGGGTCTTCCTTGCTGGAATGTCTGAAAGTCAAAGAAGGCCTACAAAGGTATTGCTAGGTAACAGGCCTTGCCTCTTTGCAGGCTCCAACTCTTAGCCATTTTTCTGGCTCACAAACAGCCAGACAGCTGAAATTATTACATGTAGGATGTTCTGCCAACCAAAGAGCCTGGGCTCAGTGGCACATTCTGTCAGACCGTCACGCTTTGGGTAGAAGATCTTACTATAGCTCTGCTGAAAATGGCTTGAGACTATGAAGAGTAACTGGATTACAAGAACTGACAGGCTGACTCAGTATAAAATGACTTGATATGAAAAATTCAGAATTATCAGGAAACTGGTAAAGAGACTTTGTCAGGTGAGACAGTGGGAAACAGACTTTGGCAGGTGAATGAACAGAGACAATGTGCCAAAAAGAGAGAGAATGAGAGGGAGGGAGGGAGAACAGTAAACATTGATGATTAACAACTGGCGAGCCAGGTCAGCGGTGCTGTAGGTCTAGATTTAGTCTAGAGTGGCATTATTTTCTTCCACTATAGCTATTTATAGTGCTTGCTGGGGTGGAGCTATCATTAGGCTAATCATTAGCCTAAGTGTGCTGTAGAGCAGGTTAATATCTGTATGTGAGACGTAGCATAAGCAGCGTTTATAAACGCCAACAATAGTTGGCCTGGGTGCAAAACAAGCAGTTGTACAAGCAGAAAATGACCCCAAAATCATGACTTAACATAACTCTACTGTGTTGTTGTTTTTTGAAGTTGTTCTAATCAGGCAACGTAGGTGACTTACAAACTGTGCTATAGTTTGCCCCCAACCCAAAGAAAGTAGAACTCCATCAATAAAAAGCAGATGAAACTTACGTTAGGTTTCTATTGCTATAACATAATTCCGTGAGAGTTTTGACAGTTATCTGAGAACTTTATTTAATTTGCCTCTTGAAGTTTAAGAGCTATGGAAGTCAATTCAGTAATATGTCAACCTCTGGTATAACTTGTCAGATTTTCAGCTCTGCTTTAAAGCAGGCATGTGTAAGCTGGGGATTCAGTACCAATATAAAAATGCAAAGAAACAAAGGGATGGAAATTTTTGAAATATTTAATTAATGGCATTATCAGAAGGGGATGGAAAGAAGTGAGTAAGGGTTTAGAATAGCTTATGCAATAAGACCACAAAAACTAATACCCCCTCCCACAGTACTAGCCTGGTTGAAGGTTAATAGCTTACATTCCTATAGTATCCACATCGTTGACAGCAGGGTTATTTAAAAATTGCTTCCTTTCAAGCAGATTGGTGAAGAATTGTAAAGGAGCATATCCTTTATATTAAAAAGGAGAATTAAATTGAAATAAGGGAGCACTAACCAGGGTAAAGACGTAATATGATGAGTTTTCTTTTTAGGTAAATTAAACTAGATATAAGATTGGGGCATGGATATGGAACTACTTTTATTAAGTATGTTATTAGAAAATCTTGAGAATATTGTACACTATGAAAGTAATATTATGATAGTAGCCAACATAAAATACGTACATGAATGGTTTGAATGTTTGAAAGATGTCTGGAATTTGGGGGACAACTGGAAAGACACTGAGATGTAAAAAAACAAATAATTTTAAGCAAATCATGTAACACTGTGTTTCACAAGCACAAATCAAATGTAGATAGAGTGAAAAACTAATAAATTGTATTTTTAAAAAATCTGCTTCCTAGCCACTAGTCTGTGTTAGATCATTTTCTACAGGCAATCCAGTGGAAGAGATCACTCTATTCTCAAGTAGCCTGCACATTCACTTGCATAGAATTCCACAAACTTGGTTGCATGGAATTCCTTATCATCCATGGCAACCAGGTGGTGTATTAAATCAAGTGGATGAGCTAGCAGATCTTTTGGATATAATGCCCTTAATTGGACTGAGTTGGATTTTAGCATAAGGTGAAGATGAGACCAGGAGAGTATATTAATTCATTGCCTTGGAGCATAGTATTATTAAAAGGAACTCTTTTTCTCCCTTGTCACTCAGAAATTTTTTTGCGAACCTTATCCAGAACCAGAACTTTTCAGAGCTATGGACATTTGTGATGATTCTGTATTTTATTGTTTACACATTTTCTCAGCTCTTTCATGGATGCACCACAGCATGATTCAGACCCTTCATATAAAAATATTATGGAACTTTTAATTAGTGCCATTTCAAAACCATTATTTTGTCCATTTAAGCATCAATTTTTGAAGAATAACCTTTGGCAACCCCCACTACTTTATAAGGAAGCAGCTTTTCATAAGGATCTATCCTGTGTTCATTGATTATATAATTAATATAGCAAAACATAATCCTTCTGTATTAAATCTTTTCATTGTGACAAGACAGGTTGTTTAATTCCCACTTTTTCCTCCACTTGGAGACTGTGTAGAATCAGTATGGCCATAGCTCATGGCCATTGCAGTTAAACAGTATCTCTGTGTATATTTGGCTGTACATGGTCTTGAATAAACATCCTCTACAGAGACAAATTTGGAAGACAAAATCTAACTATACTTTCAGAATGGTACAATCTATATTCTTTTTTTCTTTCAAAGGACTCCATGGTTTAATGGATGGGGGTTTAACCTACCCAGAGGCCAGTCTTTGTTGGACAAGTGGAATCTTATTCCTGAAGGCATTGATATATTAATGACCCATGGACCTCCACTTGGTAAGTGATACGGAAAGTTGATTATGTCCAGGTATCTTAAACTAAAAATGTTTTCAGTTTTTATTTTACTCATCTGATCAATAGAACATATGATTAAGGAAGGTGGGATGGGGAGTCACGTATCATTTTTACATTGCATTTTTACAGTTTTGTTTTCAGCTACGTTCACTAAAAATTCCCAATAAAACCTGTTCCTTGCATTGTCTCTTTCTGGTGGTTACCAGTACAGTGGAACCTCTACTTACGAACTTAATCCGTCCCAGAAAATGTTTGTTAGTTGAAACTTTCATAAGTAGAAGCAAATTTCCCCATAGGAATGCACTGAAAACCATTTAATCCGTTCCGGCTGCTTTTCGTTCTTATCTAGAGGTGCCATTCGCAAAGACGGTTAATCTGTCATCTACCGCTAGGGGGAAAATTTTTCTTCTTTTGACCTATGATGAACATAGGTCAAAAAATAGGCAGGAAAAGAGGAAGGGGGGGACGGAACACCTTCTAAACAGAACACCTTTAAAAACAAGCAGCTTTTAAACAAAACCAAGCCAAGCCAAGCACCTTTTAGGTAAAAAAGGGGCAGGAAAGGAGGGAGGGGGGAGGCAACACATTCTAAACAAAACACCTTTAAAAACAAGCACCTTTTAAAGAAAACCAAGCACCTTTTAGGTTAAAAAAAAGGCAGGAGAACACCTTTTAAATAGAACACCTTTTTTAAAAAGCCACAGAATCCAGCAAGCATTATTCCAGCACACAACTCCTCATCACAAAATGAGACACCCAACTGCATTTTACAGTCTGCCTGCATCAACACCCAGCACAGCCCCCTCACAGAATATTTTCTGATTTTAAGGAAAAAAGACTGTGGAGTCTAAACAAGATTGGGGGCTGGGGTAGAGACTTGAGTCTAAACTCCATTTTAAAGCCTGCTTGCACCAACAATCAACGACCATTATTCCAGCACAGAACTCCTCATCACAAAAAGAGAGCATAGAGAGGGGGGAGAGAGAGACTTGAGTCTAAATTCCATTTTAAAGCCTGCTTGCACCAACAATCAACAACCATTATTCCAGCACAGAACTCCTCATCACAAAAAGAGAGCATAGAGAGGGGGGAGAGAGAGACTTGAGTCTAAATTCCATTTTAAAGCCTGCTTGCACCAACAATCAACAACCATTATTCCAGCACAGAACTCCTCATCACAAAAAGAGAGCATAGAGAGGGGGGAGAGAGAGACTTGAGTCTAAATTCCATTTTAAAGCCTGCTTGCACCAACAATCAACAACCATTATTCCAGCACAGAACTCCTCATCACAAAAAGAGAGCATAGAGAGGGGGGAGAGAGAGACTTGAGTCTAAATTCCATTTTAAAGCCTGCTCCCCCCACCAAGCTGCAAAAAACTCCTGTACAGTACAGTAAATACAGTGTACTCACCCAGAATAGGCAGTCTCTGTTTAAAAAAAGAAAGTAAAAATCCAAAACTCAAATAATCAAAAAACAAATTTTTTAAGCCAAAAATAAATACAGTACAGTACCAGGCAATACTGTACCAGGCAGTACCAGGCAGTGTGAAGACTCTCTCCCTATCCACTCTTTAACCGCTTGGACAAGCGATGTTGCAGACAAAGTTCATATGCACTGGACAACGGTTAACAGAAAGTTCCCATTTCGCGCTTTCCCCACCTGCCCCACTTTTTTTGTTCATATCTTGAAGCTCCGTTCGCAAGTAGAAGCAACATTTTGCGAATGGAGCTGTTCGTAAGTTGGATCGTTCGTACGTAGGGACGTTCGTAAGTAGAGGTTTCACTGTACAATCCTTTGTGGGGCAATTAGGACTCTGCTTTAAATTTAGGGTTGTGGAAATGCACATTATTATTGCAGAAACATTTTTATTACTTGATGTTCTGAACCTCTTTATTGAAAGTTGTCTGTGAGTGTAATAATCTATGGGCATCAAAGGTTTTGCTGCTGAGACATTTCTACCAAGGTTGTAGAACCCATGACCCTTCCAATAATATTCCATTGCCATCCTTCATAATTTTCCAGGCTGTCGGGGAGTGAAATTGGATTTTTGGTCACAATAATCTCTACGGCCAGTTGCATTTTCTACATTATAGCTATACTGTGAGAATTGCCCTTTTGTGGCACCATCCCACATAGCTGTTGGAACAAGAAAAGCACTAGGTAGATGAGACCAAGATGTAGGCAGCAGTCACAGGTAAGATTGGTCTCACTGCCATGGGAATAGGATTTTTCCAAGGAATAATTCACAGGAGAAAGCACCTCTGCTGCAGAGCTGTGTAATGTACGGAGGGCTCTTCTGTAACAGATAGCCACTGCTTGTTCCCCTCTCCCTATCATAATTGCTTCTTGGTCACTGCTAGACCCGTTCTCCCCAGCCAGTGCTGCCAGTGCAGTTCATTTTCTCCAACTGTTCCAAAACTGGTACCACTGCTCCTCTTCCTAGTGGCCAGTCCTATCCTCCGTATCCCATTTCCAAATATAAGTACCTTGAAAACTGGTATAATAGCTATGCAAGTGTGACAAACCCAGACCTACTGGGATCTATCACACAGTTACTAAGCTGCCACCAACCATTCCCTATAATAAGTCACACAGACCAGGGATGGATTTTTAAACAACAAAAGAATAAGGTTTATTTTAAATACAAACAGGGTAAATAAAACAATCAGGTGAATAAAATAAAGTAACGTGGCTTATTCTCACACACACAAGCATACAGTTTGGTTCACCTAGAACCTTTAACTTAAAGCACAGACCCTGAACCCATCAGTTCTGCCTAACCAACAGTTATGTAACAGCAAGAAAAGTTGAAACAGAGACGACCCAGAATGGCTTTTTAAAATAAAGAACATAATTTGCTTTTGAGAATGTACATTGTACTGTGCTGTGCATTCTCAGTTCAACTGCAATGTGAATGAAATCATTGACTTTAACACAGGTTACAATTAAAAGATAGAAGCTTTTCAAACAAGTATTTATTGCAAGATGCTAAGAATTTTTTTAGATCAAGAGGATGGCCAGCATACAAGTACATGAGCAAATGCATACAGAGCAAAAATGATAACATATATGAAATGCCAAAATCTGATAATTCATGGTAAAATAAGGAGAACTTACTGGCAGATAAACTTTGGGGAATGATTTGGGTGGAGAAGATTTGAAATCTGCCTCATCCCAAGTGAGAAGGGCCATTATGTTGTCCAGTCTCTGATGGGAGTGGAAATGGATGTATTATTTGCGCCCTTTCCCTGTGTTCACCCTAAGTACAGAACTCTGTCTGAAACTTTGTTGACGTGCTGCCAGCCAGTTGACCACAGAAGGCTAGATAGACCATTGGCTGAACACAGCACAAGAGAGCCTTCAGTTTTATCATCTTGCCCCATGACTGACTGGAAGGTAACAAGGTAGTTCATGGAATTTTCAACTCAACTTGTTCCTGTTGCTTTGGCTCCCTACTACAGTGTGAGCCCGCAATAGGTATGTTAGTGTTCTCTTATTTTATTTTCTGCTTTGGATGAGTTTATGGAAGTACTTGTGCATTTTGTCATTTTGTTGTGAATGAAGATTTCATACTGCTTTTCATAGTTTTTTATATTTTTGTGCAAAGTTTGGCAAAATGTTTTCTGCACCAACAATACTTTTGGGGTGGGGTGGGGGCATGTTGCTGCTGCTGCTGCTGCTGCTGCTGCTGCTGATGATGATGATGATGATGATGATGATGATGATGATGATGATGATGATGATGATGATGATGATGATGATGATGAAAAAAGGCCTGGCCTTTTCACTTTCAAGCAGGAATGAAAATTTTTGCTGCAGTTGGCCATTTTTTCCAATGTGACAAAACATGTTTCTTCATCAGGGATGAGGAAATTTTCAAGTATTTGCTCCATCTTTTCCCATAATATGTGGAAAGTTGAGCAGTAGTAGCTGAAACTTGCTTGAGAGCTTCTCACTGTGACTGCAACCTTTAGTAGTGCCTTAAAATTGAGCAGATGGAAATATTTATGAATTTATTTGTGCTTGCTATGGGGCTGGTATGTGACAAACCAATCTCATAACATTTCAGATGTGTTACCAGAATATTTGCAAGAAGTTTGTGACTGCCACTTAACAATCTGCACATGACTATGAAATTCTAATTGTTCTTAACCAACGGGATTTTAACCTGAAACTTAATGCCAGAATTTCTAAAATTGCACATTGTCTATATATATTAGAAGGGAACCATATGAGCTAATTGAATGAATGGCCCACATTGCTGAAATAGCATTAGCCAAATTTGTTCCTGGTGTAGCACTTTTGAAGTTGATTAAGTAAAACCAGGGATGAATGTGCAGCCTCCATTCATACTGATTTAATTCTTCTCCTGCTTAGCACTTTTCACCCTTCTGATCTTTATGCATGCAGTGTTCCAGACCACAAAGTTCTACAATAATTGATGTCAGGCTTTATGGATTTCCTGCATTGTCTGTAGAACTCAGTAGCTTTTTCTTTAAAAGTGTTCAGTTAATGCCAACATGCTAAGAGTTCTTTCACTATTACCTTTATTGCTTTCTTCCTGGCCAGATCTTAGGAATAGCTGGGTTTTGATAGGCCTTGTTTCTTAGGAAGTCATGGTTGGTTCTCTCTTGATTTTGCTTCAGCCACTGTGAGGCTCCCTGTCATTGCCCATTGTTTTGAGCATGTAACATTTCCAGCATAAAGAGTTATTCAGTATAAAATAAAGCTTTTCAAGATAATACACAGAGTTCTGTATAAGTTGGGGCTGCTCCCTTTTTTTTCTTCAGCATTTGGGAAGACTCTTAAGCACATCATGCACTGTATGTTTTCTCGGGATTGGAGGAAACTAGACAGACTCACATGCTTCCTCGTGTACACATTGTGAAGTTTTTGGTATTTTGAGTATTTGGCAGAGAGTTAAGTCTGCCCCACTATTCAAAGAAGGTGACCATGATCTTATTTGACCAGTCTGGCAAAAGCGGTTACAGAAAGAGCTGGGGGAGTGGGGAGATGGCACTAATACCGGGAATAAACGTCATAAGAGACTCATGTGATGTAGAAGATTCTATATTTGTGATTTAATAAATCAAATTACACTGAGATAAATGCTAATTGGGAAAGAGGAGGCAGACCTAATGGGGGAGGGAGAATGCCCAGAAACCTAAAAGAGGCAAAGTGACAATGAAAAGTTTCTTAAAAGCCATTGCAAGCTTTAATGGAGATGTTAGGGTTACAGATAATGCAATAAACCTTCAGTGAGTTATAGTTTCCTGAAAGTCTGCCTGAAACCTTACCTGAATAGAGAAAATTAAGAGTATTGATTGCATTTTCCTTTCAGGTTTTCGAGACTGGGTTCCAAAGGAGCTGCAAAGAGTTGGTTGTGTGGAACTGTTAAATACAGTACAAAGGCGAGTAAGGCCCAAACTCCATGTCTTTGGCGGAATCCATGAAGGTAAGAGGTAGACGTGATAGGAAGATGCTGGCTACTGAGTAAATCTTTCTGGGGGTTTTTTAAATGCCAGAAGTGGATGTTCAAACAAAAAAATGGTAAAAAATGGGTCATTTGAAAAAACAGATTCCTTGGAGTTTGATTGGGATGTGGATTGTGAAATCTGAGGGTTTTGTTATCACAGAATCTACTGAATATTATCACATTTTTTAACCAGGAAATTAGTGACCTTGGGGGAAGATGTGGACAATTGTTAATTAAAATATATCAGATGTCACATAGATCAGTTTTCTAGCAAAGGAGGGATTGAAGTAGGACTGGCCCTCCCATGTCTCATGGCAAAACGCCTATCTGGGAATACATGAAGGCAAATGAAATCATCTGAACTATAGTGGCGAGGCAGCAGTAGAGTAGACTATGGCTATAGTAGCTGTTTTAAGAATAAAACAAGACATTTTAAAATGTTGAGCTTCTACTCCAGATAGTAACTTGTCTTGCATTAATACTGCATTAAAATGATGCCAAGCATTAAAAGGAAGAAAAGAAGCTCTTAAGCATTTTGAGAACTATGATATGTTTTATGGATGGATCCAGAGCAAGAAGGAGTTCCATCATAGAAAGATGTTTACGTGAGGAAAGATATAAAATCTTGCCAGAGAAAATATTTTGGCGTAAAGCTTAAAGTCAAAGTGGTGGGAAACTCCAGAAACATTCAATGCACTACGTTTCATCAGCTGTTTCAGGGGCCTTGCTTAATGCAGTATTAGAAAAGCAAGACGTAAATTGCTCAGGTGTACAGCATATTGAGAATTGTTCATCAGTATCACTCCTCGAGTGATGCAAAGCAGATAGTGCCAATCTGTGGTGGTGTCATCTTTGTTTGTTGTACCATTTATAGCTCAGGGCAACATGGTGTTGCAGAAATATGTAGCCCCTGCTCTTCTGTGCCTGATATTCTCTAAGGTTAGTAGGTGAGAGCACAGATTCCTTCATGTTCTGTCCAGTGTGAACAACAATCCGGTATGATCTGCGAATATGGAGAACAGTTTTAACTGATCTACAGTCAGTCAAATAAAGGATGCCGTTGATAACAATTACTTTATGTGACGCAAGTGGCTTCATTCTGCATCTGTTTCTTAAGGAAAGTTATATTTGGGAAACATATCCCAAATAATAGGACAGATGGAGAAATAAGACACCAAATGAAATACACGTGGGCACGCATGCATTTTAAAATTAAATCTCACCTTATTATGTTTATAGTAGCTTGTACATATTTCAGATGATATTTTCAAAACATCCTGCCTTCATGTTCATTTCAAAAAAAAGGAAACTTTATTGCACAATAAGCTTCCATAGCTGGGCATGAGCTAACGAGAGGTTCCTGAGGTAAAATGTCTATGATTTTTAAATATTTAATGAATTTCAGTAGCTTTTATAGCCTAGTGAGATAAATACTAAAAATATTGTCTGGTAGAAAGAGCAATACTCTGTGACCTTAGAACTAAAAATTACATCTTTAAATGCTTTATATTCCCCACTACCAACCCACATATTCTGCTGTCTCTAATTAAGCTCTCCATAGGCTCACACAATTGGAGGACTTTATACAGGAAAATATGGGTCACTTGCATGGCATTGTTGATTTTCCCCAAGTCCATATAACTTTAAATCAAATGAATTTTTGTGCAGTCCTGTAAACAAGGACTTTATAATGAAAAACACAGAGAGAGCCTTAATCACAGCAGCATCCATACAAGTACCCTTATGCATCTAAGAAAGATTCAGACATAATTATATAAATATTAATGCTAGAATATCAGTGTTAAGTGAATACCAGAAAAAAATAAGAAAAAGTAGGCCTAAGTATAGCATGCAAATTGCCTGCAGCTTTTGTAGTTGCACTGCAAGCTGAAAGTAATCAAATTTCCAGTGGCATTAGTGTTAGGCTGACAGAAAGCAAAGGTCTCTTACCATGGGAGATCATTATGAAAGCAATGATGAGGCTTAGCATTGTAAAAGTTAAGTTTATGACTAGGTTGGTAGTGCATGCTGTAAGTATAAAGGAAGTTAATGAGCATTCAGAAGTATCAAAATAATAACAGATTCTATTTCTTTGAGTTGTCTCATTCAGCACAAAAGTAACTGCTCATTAAAATGAGCAGAAACATGATTTTTCCTGTATTCTTCTTCATAACGCTCAAGCCTCAGATGCCCCAAAATGCCTAGAGACCTAAATCATTCTGAGCAAGCAAATGTCTGCATACATATTCCTGGGGAGATGAGGGATCATGCCTTTAGTTCGTGCTGCACATGGAACTCCCGAACTCAGTATGCAACTACACTGGAAATAATGCAGGAATAATGCAGTTTGGGTCAGATTTACAGTGGTGCCTCGCTTAGCAATCGCTCCATTGAGCGATGAAATTGCTTTGCAATGGACTTTTGGCCATCGCTGGAGCAATCACTTAGTGATGTCCCCTATGGCTAAAATTCGCTTTGCAATGATCGCGGGGAAGCGATCATGGCAAAGCGAACTTTTTTAAACAGCTGATCAGCGGTTCCAAAATGGCCGTTGCAAAAACAAAATGGCTGTTGCTGGTTTGCCTCACTTTAGAGGCACCCAAAATGGCCGCTGCTATGGAGGAATCTCGCTTTAAGGTAAGTTTTTAGCCCATAGGAACGTATTAAACGCGTTTTAATACGTCCCTATGGGCTTTTTAATATCGCTTAGTGATTAAATCACTTAGTGATGTTTTTTCCGGAACGGATTAACATCGCTAAGTGAGGCACCACTGTATTATAATTTTTTTCTATTGACTGTATAATGCAAAGGAAACTCAAATCCATTCAGGAGTTCCCTCCCCTAAAACCTTTCTTTTTCACCTCCACTGCTGGAGCTTCTGTTTGTTTTTTTTAAAACCCAGATCGATTCACATTGGTTCAGATGTGGAATCACCTGAACTGATGCAGAAAAGCCATTATTCTACCAGCACACACTAAAAGAATGACAACTAATGTCTGTTGGCAAAGCATTTTTTAAACCAGAGAGGAGGAAGTCAGCATACACTCAGGGAACAGTGAGCAAAGTCCGTGACAAATTGATCTATCTTCCTTCCTTCCTTCCTTCCTGCCTTCCTGCCTTCCTGCCTGCCTTCCTGCCTTCCTTCCTTCCAAGGGTGAACAAAGCCACTCTTCCTTTTTTTAGCCACTTATGGCAAAGCTAACAAGATGATGAAGTATTATTTAATGCTTTTTAGGCAGTTCTCTTTTAACCATGTAAACCATCTACAGACAAGGCTTCCTCTCTTTCCCTGTATGGCCAGTTAATGGAGAAAGACCCACGGAGACCTGAATTCCCTGGTGCGACTTCACACTAAATGAACACAAGTGAAATTGTGTTTCCCTCACTGTGTGGTCACACCCTCAGTTTGTCAGCTTGGGCTGCACATGTGCAGTTATTTAACCACCAGTCAGAAACTATCCAGAAACTGGAAGGAGTTATTGGATTTGATCCACTGTTCCCCTGACCACTGAAATGCTGAGTGGTGAGGTTTTGTCCTTTTCTTATAAGGCTGTACATACATATTCTTTTAGATTAAAATATAGGTAACATTTCAATTTAATGAGGGCCAAACTATATGTTTTAAAGGTGACACTCACACTTTGCCGGTAGAAGTCCACTCACTTTGTTCACTTCTGAACTCTCCCCTGCCTTTAAAGATTAGTCATCCTTTGGTCTCAAGAGACTATAATAATGTGCTCTGTATGGAGGACTTGGAACAGCGTCTAGTGTGGCTAAGAAGGCCAATTTGAGAGTGACAATCCTTCCACATTGAAGACAAATACAATCTGTCCCCTGTCCAGCTCCCTGATTTTGCTGCTTTTGGGACTGCCATTTTGCCTTAGCTTGCTGGAGACGTGTCTCTTCAAAATGGGAGAGGCCATGATGCACGGCCTGCCTCCCGGCTGAATGCTCAGATGTCAAGGGGTCCCATGTGTTGAGGTCCATTCCTAAGGCCTTCAGATCCCGCTTGCACATATCCTTGTATTGCAGCTATGGTCTCCTCTGGGGCGGTTTCCCTGCACTAATTCTCCATACAGGAAATCTTTTGGAATCTGACCATCAGCCATTCTCACAACACGCCCAAGCAGAGTGGGCAACAACAGCTGCATCATCGGTTAAGAGGGTCCCACATGCATTTCAGCTGGACTCTTTGGTCTTTGCTCTCAATCTAGAGAGATTAAAGAGCTTTCCATCTGATCTAGTCCAGAGATAGACACCTTCTGTTGCAGTTCCAAAGGCGTGCTTCAGCATTACAGCAAAAAAGATCCCAAGCAGGGTTGGCACGAGGACACAGCCCTGTTTCACTCGGCTTCGGATATCAAAGGGATCTGATGTTGAGCCATCAAAAACTACGGTGTCCTTCATTTCCTCATGAAAGGACCTGATGATGTTAAGGAGTCGAGGTGGACATCCAATCTTGGGAAGTATTTCAAAAAGGCTGTCCCTGCTAACTAAATCAAAGGCCTTTGTAAGATCTATGAAGGCCACAAAGAGTGGCTGTTGTTGTTCCCTACATTTCTCCTGCAACTATATGAGGGAGAATACCATGTCAGTGGTGGATCTATTAGCTTAAAATCCATACTATGATTTTGGATAGACTCTGTCTGCAAGCACCTGGAGCCTCTTCAGCACAACACGGGCAAGCAGCTTCCCTACCACACTAAGAAGAGAGATGCCACTGTAGTTATTGCAGTCACCCCTGTCTCCTTTGTTCTTATACAATGTGATGATGTTTGTATCTTTCATGTCCTATGGTACTCCACCTTCCAGAAGAGACAAAAGATTTCATACAGCTCGGTGGTGATGCATTGCCGGAGACAAGGGAATCCAAAGCAACTTATATTTCTGCTAAGGTTTGTTCATTGTCCAACTCTTCCAAGACAGGCAGGCACTTGATGTTATTTAGTGCCTCTTCCGTTACTACATTCTCTCTGGA